ATTGATATAATCACAGATAGACAAATTTGGTAACATTTAGTCACATAGAAGACAAATTTGGTTACAATTAGTCACAGATAACAAAGGTTAATGACTTGATTACATACAGTCACAAAATTAATTATTCAGAGACAGCCACATTGAAGACAAATTTGTTCACAATTAATCACATATAACACAGCTTAATGACTTGGTTACATACAACCACAAATTAGACGATTACAGACAATCACACTAAAGACAAATTTGATTGAGTTAGTCACACATAAGACATATCTGGTTACAAAAAATAAATCTGACCACGGTTAATTTGTGGGTTGGGTGGTTTCCATGGATTCTAGTGTAATCTTCAAAAAATGTTTTCAAGTTCTGAAAATTTTCTAGGGGATGGAATGAGGTTGGTTGGGAGAGGATAGGATGAGGCTCCATCGGGTCGAGAGTGTAATAGTCAGAAGGGGTTTTCAATTTTTGAAATGTGATAGTTAATAGTGTAGCAGTTATTTATTATTTATTGTTGGTTAGAATTTACAAACAAAAGAAAGTTCATTCCTTACGTTGTTAAGTTGTTTAACTCACGCGTTAAATTCGTCTCTGCTCGCTAAACCGTCAAAATCCCCGTCTTCTCTCTTTCACACGCGCACGAAAATAGACGAGAAAAAAAAATGAAGTTTAGGGTTTTCTTGATTCTCGCTCTTCTCATTTTCTCTTCATCGTGTCTACAAGGTATGACTATCGTAGATCTGATCCGTTTCATTTCAACCCTCTCAACGCTGCTTGAAGTTTGGATCTTTTTTTGTATCAATGTATTGCTGATCCATGTCAATTTGCATCTTCGCGCATGAACAATTTTGATTCGAACTTGATTTTTATGTTGTTTCGGTTTTAAGTTGTTGCATTTGTCAGATCTTAGTTCTATTTTATTGTCTATCTATTTGAATTGTGTTTGTTGAATGGATCGTTTTTTAATTCAGCTTGACTGTATTGTTATGTATATGAGATTCCAGAGCAAGAACTTTACTTTCTGAGACTTCTGTGGAGAGAAAAAATTAGATTTTTTTCCCTTTATACGTCTGGTTTGCATGTTGAAAGTAAAATATAATTATTAGTCAATATGTATATATTATGGATTCCAAGCATAAGGTGCTTTTGGCCGATAAGAATGTAAAAATAGTGTTAAGTTGATAGTTATGGTAGATTAAGGTCGACGGTAGATTAAGGTCGACGGTGTTTTTAATTTTTATTCAAATGAATGTCATTTGCAATATTATCCATATAACATTACGTTGAGCATGTAAATAGAAAAAATATAGTGAACGACATATTTAAATAAAAGATCAAATAATATTGTCCATCCTAATCCTATCTACCTAGTGAGCTTTTGTAATTTTATGTTAAGTTTCTTATCTTGTCTAATTCGGTGCGCCAAAGGCAACCAAAGGGGTTAATTATCTGCCATTGTTTAGTTTAAATTGTTTGTGACTCTGCGTTTCTTGTTACCTTTTCCAGTCGATGTATTACTGAGCCCTTGGTTTGCGGATTTTCCTTAATTATTTGGTGTGCTGACATCTAACTACATACTGTATCTGAAACTTTGATATCTGCATGTCTTTTGTTTGATAGTTGCAAGAAGCGAATCAGAACCAGATCCAGATGTAGTTGAAACTGACGGAGGAGATCTTGGGATCGTTGGAGAGGATATTCAAGATTTTGGTGGTGGAAGTTTCAGTCCAGCTCCAGGAGTAGAAACAATTTGTGTTTTCCCCAAAAACCCTTCTAAACGTGAGGGTTCATTATTATGCTATTTTACCCTTCTTCGTAGCTAGTGTTTCTCTGTTGTTCCTTGTTGTATTGTTTTCTACATTTTATTGAAGCTGCCTATTAAAGAGATGTAGCTCTAATTTGATTTCCTTTTCAGTGGTTGTGGCTGGGGAAGAAGGTGAACTTCTGGTTGGAATTAAGAATGAAGGTAATAATTTGTTATTTGACTGTGTGATGTGTTGTTTTCTTTCTTTGTCCATCAGATGTAGTTAATGATATTGTTGGCCTCATCTTTCATTTTTTAAATTCTGTAGATTTTGGTCGGTAATTTCTCTTTTAAGGCATGCCCAAGTAATTGAATGTGTGTCTGATTTTACTACTTGATATATCTATCATAGCTGTTTATAATTGTTGTACTAGATGCTGTCAAATATGTGGATAGATCAATGATTTATCTTGCTGCTTTTGTTTTTAATAAACAGGGGGATCAAGTATTAATGTTATTGCAATCCAGGCCACTGTTCATCTTCCCTTTGATCACCAGTATTTGGTTCAAAATCTTTCTGCTCAGGTATCTTCTGTTTAGTTTTCTGAGCATTATGCCTGTGCCCTTCATTCATGAATGTAAAATTTCCTTGTTATATTCTCTGGGTCAAGGGCAATATTTAGTTGTACAGATGGTCTTGTGATTGTATTACAGCTCATCAATTTTGTGCATGGAACTGTCTTAAATCTATGTGCAGAATGAATGAATAATTTTTATTGCAGCATTGTGTGTGATTCAATGGGGCCATTACGTATATTTCTGGAAGACTTGTTTAGGGAATGACATGGAAATTTCAATTTCAAGATGAACTGATCGGAGTTAAATCCAAATCCTGTATCACCAAGAAAAGATGATATGATTTGATTTTTGTCTAAAAAAGTCTAGATCTATAAAAAATTAAGAATTCGATATCTGGCCTGGAGATTATTGTTAATAGGACAAGTGTCATTAGTTATAGTGTTTGTTGGTTATCTATTGTGTAATTGTCATATCAATTTGAATCTTTTCAACTTGGGCAAGGACAGATACTTGAGACAATTACCTGCCTCAAAACACCCAGCTCATGAATTGATCAATAACCTCTTGCAAATTACAAGTCCTCTGATCCTGAGGTGAGGGTGCGATGCCTATCGAAATCACAAAAGATGCAACACCGGATCCGCGTCAAGTGAAAAGTGTCTTGCATTGGCCGATTCCGTTGCCGAAAACAGCTTGTTATGATCCTTCATGGGGGACGGGAAGACATTGCGTTCCTAGTAGATTTCCCTCATCTAAATGCACAGTCCCCTTAATGCTACGAAGTGANATACAGATGAGAGAGAATGTGTGAGCAAGAGAATTTAATTAGTATTTCATATGGGTGCTCTCTCAATGAACTTTGGAGCTTTGAATACAGATGAGAGAGAATGTGTGAGCAAGATAATATAATTAATATTTCATATGGGCGCTCTCTACGAACTTTGGAGCTTCGAATATTGCTTTATGCTCTAAGTATCCTCCAATTCTGGATTGTGAATTGCCTATTGAATTTTGAATCACAGTTGTCTAATATGATTCTTCGATGACTTTTGATAGTAATTTGCATATTGCCATTTTCTAGGCTTTTAACAACGCTTCAGTCCCTCCTTCTGCTCAAGCAAGTTTCCCCTACATATTTGCTGTGAGCAAATTTTTACAGGCAAGTATGCTGTATTGCTTAAGTTCAACATTCAGGTTTGTGCTGCACAGAGTGTGTAAATTTCTGCACTGGCCATTTTTTCTTTATCTTGCAGCCTGGTGCATTTGATCTGGTTGGCACAATTGTTTACGAGATCGATCAGAATCCATACCAGAGCACCTTCTACAATGGAACAATTGAAGTTGCTGAGGCAGGTGGCCTACTCAGTGTTGAGTCTGTTTTCCTGTTTTGCCTTGGAATTGCCCTTCTTGGTCTTCTTGGATTTTGGATACGTGGCCAGATAAAGAATTTCTCAAAGGTAACTGCATATTCCTGTGGTTATATATTTTGTCTTTTTTTCCCCACCTTAAATGTTACCCAATCTGCAAATATAATATTATTTTGAGGTGGATGATGCATTTTTCTTCCTAAAATATTATCTTATCCATCTTTTCAGCAAGATCTAAACAGTTATGAAACGGTCAAAATCTTGGTAGTGATTATTGAGTGATGCTGCAGGGTATAGATGGCTGCTATAGCAGTGGATATTGGCCAAGAGATGATCACATCTATTTTGTGGGATTTAATGCTAAAAGTGTCGAACTATAGTTAGTCTGAGTTCCAACTAGAGAACTGAGGCATGTCAGACTCGGAAAATAAACAAAAAGTAGGAAGTGTGATGTTTTTAACTTATCATCTTCTGGATTTACTTTTTCCTGTGAATTTATACCTCTCATTAGAAAGATGTCAAACAGCAAACCGAAGAATTGGTTCTCCGCCAATCATTTAGCTAACTGAATTTTTTTAACAGACCAAACTTATTGTTCTAACTCCCTTTTGTTTTCGCACCTCTCTCTTGAAAATTAGAAAACAAAGAGGGCACCGAAGGTGGAGGTCGGAACCGGGACCACCGATGCTTCAATGGATGAGTGGTTGCAGGTTTGTATTTCATGCATCGTGATATATTTTTTTTAAATTCGTTACTCTGAGGTCTTGTATTTTTAAGATGTAATTTCAAGAGAGGTATAGCGATGAACTTGTCTCCTCTGTATGTTCAGGGAACTGCTTATACTCAGTCTCAATCCAGCAAATCAAAGAAGAAGAAGTAAACGAGCATGCTCGAACAGTCAACTGTAGGCAGCAGTACGATGAGCAATGATTTTTGTGACACAGCTTAGGGGGCGCATCTATTTGTGGAATAGCTCGAATTACCTGCCTAACTGTTGTAGCATTAGGAAGGAACTTTTAAATTTTTCGTTAGTGGCAATTCTGAAAATTGAGCCATTTTATATGCCGGACCAACTGAGAGTTGACGTAGAACGCTACAGTTTTGTTAAAACATGACAATGGTGTTAGATTATAATCTCATTTCGTCAATTTTATTTATGTTCTTTGGTTTCTGTCGCGTATGTTCATGTTGATTTTTTCCCCCGAAAATCAAGTTATATAGATCCATTCTATAATCCCGTAGGGGTGTGTAATAGGGTGTGCTTGGACATATTATCCACGGTCCATGCAAGGTAGGCATGCCAAGTATATCTATCCCGAATCCTGCTAGAGAAATATACTTCAGTGAATGGTTCTATATATACATGTGGTATGATCGGCTATTCAAATTAGGATATGTTAAAAGTCTGAATCATTCAAATGAGACATGTCGAATGTTGAGATGGTCCGATGTCGGTTCACCCATTCTATTGCTCTCTAATCTTGCATTCGAGGTGTAGTAATTTAAGTGATTCGATTTTTGAAGTGTTGTGATTTTAATAAGTGGGTTTATTACGTGTACGTATATACGATCTTTACATTGAAATATTTCTCTTCCCATCATGGCCGCGTCTGGAAAAATAATTGAAATTCAATTGACACAGCCATTAAAAATTAAATTGAACTAACTCATTGCAACTATAAATTATTTTGCTATCTGGCAGCGGCGCATCATTTATGGCCATAATTAACTTTTTTAAAAATATATCATCCTGTAAATTGGACCACTCACGTTATACAGTTCATGTCTTGCTTTATCCTCCAAGTTTATTGCAATTAAATTCAAATATGAAGGCCTCTCCTTGTTTAAAATTAATTTATTTATTGAATCTTTTCCTTTTTAGTTTAAATCCAATCTTGTTAATTTAGTTATTACACTAAAATGAGTGAAAACAACTGTTGATTTGCAATAGAATTTACAAAAAAGAGACGTGTAAAATGGTATACATTTACATATTTTTTTATTTTTTTGCCATCATATTTACATGTATGAATACATATACACGATTTTATTTTGGATCGAGTCGAGGGACATGAGGCTTTTAAGAGGCTATAAATCCCACCAATAATGTAATGTTCATAAATATGTTGGTCCCCTCAAGATAATGGCAATTTACAAATAAAAAACCACAATTAATAAATATGTTGGTCCCTNATGGCAATTTACAAATAAAAAACCAAAGCTTAAAAAGATTTTTTCAAGTCCATGAGGAATATAGTTGGATGAAGAAATCTTGTCCACATTTTTTCCAAAAAGAAATGACTCCCCATTAATGCTTAAGACTTCTCTTTTCCTCTATATTTGAAAATATAACAAATGGTGTGTTAAACTAAGAAACCCGACAAATTAGTCGTGTAACTTCGAGAGATGGAACGACTCCTTACATAAAATGTACTTGTATCATATGATGAATTCATGATTACAAAATTGTTTATTTTAGTAGGTCCCTAAAATTTTTGCAAGTTTCGCATAGTTTTTTAACATATTTAACTCATTTTTTATAGAATATAAATTTTAATTTGTTTTTGTGTTGTCAGACATGATGATGATGATGATGACGA